ATCATCATTTCACTTTTTTCTTCTTTTAGCAAAAAGTCCATAAAAGGTTTCCAGTCTTTCAAAAAAGTACTTGTTTTCTCCCTAACCAAACAGCTCAGTTTTGTCATTTCCACCAGTTCGCAATCTATTCCTCCATAATGGGGTTTGGACTTGTGTGTTGATGTGGAAAAATAATGTTCTTTTCCCAGAAGGCATCGGTTGATCTATCCTAGAAGTATCCCCAATGAAAAATCATAACGCAGGCAACGTAGTGACTATTGACTATAATCATAAACACCTTGTTGTGTATCAATGTCATGGTCTAGTTCAGTCAGTAAATGGCACTACACCTAGTTGTATCTCCTTCCTTTTGCAGTTTTGTTCTTCCTTAAAACTAATAACAATGCTCGATATTCAGCCTAGTTCAATGGTAGGAAAAATAATGCTTGTAGAATGTGGTAAATTTAGAATGAAAGAATTTTGAACTTAGAATTTATGTTTGAACAGTGCAATGGAATGCTTATGCAAAAAATCCTATCCTGATTAATCCAAACTTGTTCATTTCCTCCATAAAATCCATAGCAATGGAAGAGTTGTTTTGTTGCTGCTCTTGATAAATGTGGGAGTCAGAAATCCTTTCCAGCATGCTGCAAGTAGCCTCTCTTTGAGGTCTACCAAATGCTGCCCAACCGTAGCCTAGTTGGTTGTATCCTGATCTAAACTTTCTATGACAATCACATGATTCTTATGGCAAACAATCAGGAGTCTGGAAACATCTTTTCCAAGTAACAAATTTTATTAAAAGACATACACTTTCATGAGCTGCAGTTCACTTTATCAGATGCATAAAGTGGCTAGACAGAAGTAGGATTTAAATTGGGAAGAGGTAGGGGAAAGGTGGGGAATAAAAGGAGGGGAAGACAGGTTGGTTATACAGATACAGGTTATATGTATGACAGATTACAAGTACCTTATCAATTAACAACTACAATGTGTTAAAAACCCATTGTGTTTTTTGAGACCTTCTGAGATTGCCTGAATCCTTTTGATGTATGTGAGTTCAACAATTTCTCACTTGATGGAGCTATTAGCCCTACTTTTCCAGAACAGTCATTTTGCGACCTGCTGTGGAAATGAAATGTTCCTTTGATGATACTTTGAAATGCTCTGATATTACTTCCTCCTTGAAATATTACAGTTTGAAATAACAACTGCAAGAATAAACATTATTGGTAGTAAAGGCACAATTACTATTAACAAGTGTAATGGTTCCTGACTATTAACTTGCATAATATTTCCTCACTCTTTATTGTCCACAGAAGAAGTTGGTCTCCCAGTAATATATCCCACCCCACCCTCACTTTCACAGCTATTTATCATCCTACCAAGAATATATAATAACCTGATAGAATCCATTCCAATTGCTTTGATTTCCCTATATAACCCTCTTCCTTCTCAAGAACCTAGCCAATGCTTCTTTCACCTGGCTATTCTTCAGGCAGTAGATCAAGGGGTTAAGCAAAGGGGCAACAGCAGAGTAGAAGAGTGTCATCACTTTAATATTCTCAGTACGATTTTTCTCACTGTGTCCAATGTACATAGTGGCCACAGAACCATAAAAGAGTGTCACCACTGCTAGGTGAGAAGACACAGTATAAAAGCCCTTGTTTCCAGAGTTTTCACTAGACCTTTTTATCAGAGTGAAAATAATCCCCACATAGGAGACTACAATGAAAAGGAAAGTGCCCAGTATCAAGGCAGAAGTGATGACATAGCAGAAAAGAGAGAGGTATCCCAGGGGATTACAAGCCAGGGCCAGGAGTCCTCCAGAGTCACAAATATAGTGATCAATAGAGTTGGGACCACAAAAGGACAACCTGGAGATCAAGGACACTGGGACAATGTAGCAGAGAAAGCCAGTGATCCAACAAATACTCACCAGGAGGAAGCAGAACTTTTTAGACATAATTTGTGTGTACCGTAGTGGACAGCAGATGGCCAAATACCGATCCAAGGCCATGGCTGAGAGGAAGAGAGATTCAGTAGTGCCAAGGGAGAAGAAGACATAAAACTGGAAGAAGCAGGCATGGAAAGAGATGGCCCCACCTGGGAAGGACAGGTCAAAGAGCATCCGTGGCACTGTGGCACTTACGTAACAGACCTCCAGCCAGGAAAAGTTGCTCAGCAAAATGTACATGGGAAGTCGGGACAAGTGAGCATCTTGAGTCACTACCATGATGATGATCAAGTTTTCAACCAAAGTGAGGATGTAGACAACTGTGAATGAGATGAGAAGCAGCAGGCGACCTTGTTGTCCAACTCTGAAGCCGAGCAGAATGAATTCCTTCACTGTGGTTGAATTAAGCAACTCCATCTGCAATACATAGAACCAGGCTGCAAAGAGGCTAACCATTCATTGTGGAGCTGGATTTTAGATTTACTATCATATATTTGGATTAAATGAATCATCAGTTGATACGATAGGAAATTCTCTTTAACAAGAGCATGCAGGTGGTTGTGAAATAAGACTATTATCAGTTCATTTCAGAGGATTTTGCTGAGATTTTGAAGAAGAAAGTACAGTAATTTTTCCCTGCATTTTTCAGAAACTGCATTCTCATAAGCCCTGTTCTTTAAGGTTCCTAGTAAATATCTTTTGATCTGATAATAAAACAATATTTCTGGACCTTACTATCACATAAGCTGCTTCAAACATCCAGAAACATAACACCAATAAAATGGCATTTCTTCTTTGTTTCATGCCCCAGATTCAAACCTGAACTTTGTTGTGATGAGAGAAGTTCCATTGAACAGTTAGTTGCTTTATACAGAATTCTATCCTGAAGTGAAGTCATTATTTTAAATAGCTGGCTGAAACATTCATTCGAGAAAGGAATGGCCCTCAGGCACTGGCCTATGGAGAATAGTTCAACTTTCATCAAAACAAGATGGCCTTGGAGAATGCTCAGGAACCAGTAATCTAAAATATATTTGTATTCCTTTATACCAGGCCCTCCAAGTTGGATGGATTTTGTGCCTTTTCTCCTCTCCTTTTTTAAGAGAATGGTATGTGATTTTGATGACTGCCAGTGTGGTGGAGTTGTTAAGGTGCTGGATGAGGAGTGGGGAGACCCAGGTTCTGGTCCTCCCTTAGGCATGAAAATTGACTGCTCTCTCAGCCCAAAACTGCTTTAGACTCTGAAATAAGGTGGCTGAAGCATAAACATGATTGCATCATTCATGGATAGCTTTGCTGTCTGACCATTGTTTGCTACACAATGCAAACAAGTGTACCTGCAACCAGGTAGGCCAAACACTAAAAAAGAAAATTTAGTTTTAAATGGAAGTTAAAAATATAGGCCACAATTAGAAGGAACATATTGTTTTTTGTTTCTTTCCACTGCTTTCTGAAACTTGGGTGCTTCCAAAAATATGGATGTCACCACCCAGGATCCCTGGAAATCATAGTTCCTGCTGGGACTCGGAAGTTGAAATCAGCACAACTTGGGAACAGGAAGGTTGGAGAAATACTTCTGTAAGAGTCAAAGATGGAGCTTGGGACTTTTCACCACAACAACTCTTTGAGATAAGTCAGTTGACAAATAGTGATTTCCTCAGCATCACCTAGTTACTCACCATCAAGTGAGGACTTGAATCTGGACTTCCCACCCCAATCCAATCCATCAAGTATTACTTCAAACTGTAACAGCTTATTGGGGAAAAGAAGATGCATT